GAAATGGGGGACATCTGTCAACAATAAAAATAAAGTAAAAAATAATAAACAGCCCTGGATGGTGTGGCTCAGTGGATAGAGCGTCGGCCTGCGGACTGAAGGGTCCCGGGTTTGATTCCAATCAGGGGCACATGCCCAGGTTGCGGGCTTGATCCCCAGTAGGGGGCGTGCAGGAGGCAGCCGATCAGTGATCCTCTCTCATCATTGATGTTTCTATCTCTCTCTCCCTCTCCTTTCCTCTCTGAAATCAATGAAAATATAGTTAGAATAAATAAATAAACAAACAGAAGGAAGTTTGGGAAATTCACAGATACGTGGAAGTGAACAAACTCCTCAGTACCCAGGGGCTCAGGAAGCACGGGGCCGGAGACGGGGAGACGTGCGGAGATGAGCAGAGACAGAGCGTGAGGCGAGAGCAGCCCACGGGGGCTTATGCCTGTAAATGTCTTTAGAGAGAAGAACATCTCCAGTAAAAGCCTCTCAGCTTCCACTCCGAGAAGCTAGAAGAGGAGTGAACCAGAGGCAGAGCGAGCAAAAGGAAGGAAAGTGGAGATCCGGGAGCCGGTAAAAAAGACAGACACCAGCAAAGCAGCAGGAAAGTCAGGGAAGCCAAAGGCCGTTCCTTGACAAGATAACCGCGTGGACACAGCGTTCGCAGACTGACCAGGAGAAAGGAGTGAAGGTGGAGATGGACAAACGCCTGAAGGACACAGACGGCTGGAGCAGCCTGAAAAAGGGCCCCGAGCAAGCACTGGGTGGCCCTGGGTACCTCCCAGCCCTGGGTCTCCTCGCTATTCAGTCTGGGGGTAACAACATGATCCCCAGGTCCCCCAGCTCTGAATCCCCGAGTGCCCTGGGGCCCCACAGGAGGTTTCTGGGAGGCACACGGGGGACCCTGGCAAGCACAGCCCAACCTGTCTGAGGCCACAAGTCCCCAGACCCCCCCCCGCCTTGGTTCTTCCCTGAGGTTCAGAGGGCCCCCTGCCGGCCTCGGTGAGGGTGCTACGGCCCGCGGTGGCTCCCCAGTGCCCTCAGGGAAATGCCGCACTGCATGCAGCGTGGGTTCCCCTGCCCTGCCTGGCGCCTGATCGAGGTTCTCACCGCCCACCACCCATCCCACCCAGACCTTGCACCTCAGTGCACGGCCCAGCTCACCTACCCAGGGCCTTCGTATAAGCCGTGCCTGCTGCCAGCTCTCCCCGCCGCCCACCTAATGCCCGGCTAAACCCTCCTGACCCTCGGGTCCCAGACCACACAGACTCCCCTGGCCCCCACGTTGGGGCCAGGAGCTGCCCCCACCACCCCGAGGACCACTTTGTGAGCTGGTCACTGCTTCCCACAAGACCCACTCAGAGCCCGGTGTACCCGCACAGGGAGGGGCTGTTCATACAGCCAGCGGCTCCTCAGCCCTGGGAACCGCCCGCCACCCGGGAGGCGTCCGGCGGGCAGGGCTGGCGGATGCCTAGAGGAAGCCACCGGCTAAATCACCCACGTTCAAGGCCCCGGGCTCCTCTGTGCCCAGCCCCTCCTGCCCGGCCTGGGCTATGCCCACGACGGTGGGGATGCTCGGGCTATGGGCAGTCACGCCCCAGGCAGACAGAGACGAGCCGGGGGCCCTGCCTGTCCGGCCCAGTGTGGGAGCGGCCTCGGCGCCGGCAAACAGCTCGTGGTTTCCATTACTCAGCGTTGTCGGCGGCGGAAAAACCACCGCCCGCCTGTGACTCTCACACCCCAGGTGCTCTGGCCGGAGATGGAAAGAGAACACGCTCTTTCCAGGAAGTGAGAGCGGGGCTGGGCGGCACTTACTCTCCAGGTTGCCCGTCTCCGCGGCGACCAGGAAGGCCCATTCGTAGTAGCACTTGCCCCGCTGGGCGAGGGCCCGGCGCGTGTACAGGTGGCCCAGCTGCAGGAGCACGTGGGTGAAGTCC